AAATATAAATAGTTTTTTTCTTTTTCCCATAACAAATAACATCATTTAAGTTTTATACAAAATCGTATATTTTTTCGATTCAACTATTTCCTCCGCTAGAATTATTTGATGTGAAGCTTTAATCAACTTTAACTTAAGGAAGAGCTTTAATGTAAAGTACCTAATACAAACTCATTCGAATTGCAGCTCAAGGTGCTCTACATATATGAGCTTCTACAATTATTTGTTATGAAGCTTTAATAAACTGATAACTAAAAGTTCTTTAATAGTTAAAACTAATCGAGAAAGTTACATTTTTCTTAGGCGACTTTCATACAGGATTTTCCTGTTACGTTTTTCTTTCAGTTAGTTTTATCAGCTGCTAATTGCTGGAACTCGTTCAGCTAATGTTATTAGCGCTTTGTTGTGCTAAAACTAATCCACATTTAACGCTTGATGCGCAACATGAAGGTGGCTCCATCAAAAACTGACATACACAAACACCACACACACACACACACGAACACACGCGCTTGCACAACGGAAATAACACAGCGGCAGGCATAATTATAATTATCATCAAATTGAGTTACGTTGTCAGCTGCAGCACGAGCACAACGGGGCGTATGAGTAATAACAACTATAATATACACAGCCATAAATACACACAAATGTCAACTGTTAGTTAGTTAGTTAGTTAGTTAGGTGGTTGGCTGGCTGGCTGGGTGGATACCTATATACATTAATATCCAACTACATGCATCAGCCTGTGCATACGGCTATTATTGTTAAATGCATTTTGCACTTGTGATTCGTTTAGCTCGCAGCCTTGGCCTACGGCCGGGCCACTTAGTTTGCCTTTACATTTCCAGCTAAACAGTTTCAAAGAGCTCACAAATATTTACTTAAACTCACGCACACACACATACATACACATATATAAATATATGTATAACAACATTTTCAGGTTTATTTGTACATTTTACATTTCCGAGTTAACGAAAAGTTTTCGTTAAGAATCTGAGCATTTCGCATAGCTCTGGCAACCGAAAATTCCTGTTGTGGCAAACTTTTCGAGTTTACAACTTGGAGCCGCGCATTAGTAAATTGGTTATGGGATTTATGCTTTAATCATGAGCGATTTTATGTCGAACATGTGAGTTAACTCTAATTAAGGGCGTAACTGACATTTTACGTCATTTTAAGCCGTGCGCCAAACTAATTAATCCTTCAGTATTATGCCGTAGTCAGCTTTATTATGATAACGTAATGAGTTGAAAATTTAGGGCATTTTTATGCTCGCTTTTGGGCCAAACTTTTGCGCAACTTTAATATCGTAGCATAGTTTTTGGGGCTTGCCGGTTTTTATATGAAATTTTTAAGGAATTTATTGGCAAATTGCGGTTGGCAAGGAGTTTTTTTTTTTGGTTTGATGCTAAGCTGAATTTATTACAAAATAATAGTTGAAAATGGATAGAAGGAAAAGGGAGAGTTATAATGAAAAAGAGTTTTGACAAGCTCTAAAGCTATAAAATATTGATATTGATTGGTATTAATTTAAGATAAGTTAGAACTCGAGTTTGTGATATCATCTAGACATTTACTGCAGGCTACAGATTTTTTGTTTTGATGGTAAATTGCATTAAAAGTTGACTCAGACAGATGTGCTTAAGATATTTGCAAATGACTATCGCCTTTCTAGGCAAATCTCATATAAACTTATTTTTGAAAAATTTATCTTTAATCTCGTATTCTTGTATCTTGTATCTTGCATCTTGCATCTTGCATCTTGCATCTTGTATCTTGTATCTTGTATCTTGTATCTTGTATCTTGTATCTTGTATCTTGTATCTTGTATCTTGTATCTTGTATCTTGTATCTTGTATCTTGTATCTTGTATCTTGTATCTTGTATCTTGTATCTTGTATCTTGTATCTTGTATCTTGTATCTTGTATCTTGTATCTTGTATCTTGTATCTTGTATCTTGTATCTTGTATCTTGTATCTTGTATCTTGTATCTTGTATCTTGTATCTTGTATCTTGTATCTTGTATCTTGTATCTTGTATCTTGTATCTTGTATCTTGTATCTTGTATCTTGTATCTTGTATCTTGTATCTTGTATCTTGTATCTTGTATCTTGTATCTTGTATCTTGTATCTTGTATCTTGTATCTTGTATCTTGTATCTTGTATCTTGTATCTTGTATCTTGTATCTTGTATCTTGTATATCATATCTTATGTCTTCTATCTCTATCTCCTCTATTCTCTTTATTTTTCTCTATCTCTATCTGTCATTTAATGCCCGCCATTTGTATCTAATCTCATAAGTTTGACTAAGCAAACATGACTTTGATTTCTGTATTTCGTTTTATTCCGCCTCTCTTAATGGACAATGACTTTTGCTAAAATGCAGTCTGTAAGTCCGCAGTGCAATAAAATCGTATTACTTTTGCAAAGGCAAATATCGCTTGGCGTGCGGCAAGAACAAACAACTGTTACTTTCCCTTTGCCATATGTTAACGCCCCAATCATCGTCCCATACCGTTCTCATCCTGTTGCATTCCGAACTTTCATTGCCGTTTGGCTCAGTGTTTGCGCGAATCAAACAATTGTCACAAGTAATTGCGATTGCGGGCTGTGTCAGATAGACAAGTGAGGGCACGTGAGCGGTAATTAATTGGAAATGTCAAGCATCGAGACATTCGAGATTGTCAACCTGTTATCAAGTGCAAATATGCAGCCATCTAAGTGGCATGGCTGTCAATCAACCCGCAGCTATTCTCACATTTATGATATGCAGACGTCAAAGGCAAAAAAAAAAAAAAAAAAATGAAAGGAAAATGAGGAAAAGCCAAAAATGTTTAAGCGTCGCCTATCGACTTTCCTGCTAGGCTTGGCAGGTGTATGGGTGCTAGGTGGCATGCAACATGTTGCAAACCGACAATTAGCTGCCTCTACGACTTCTTGCTGCCACATTAGGTGCCAAGCCCTGCCCAGAGTAGGCAGCGTGTGAGCAAGAGTGCGCTTGCCCTAAAGGACCGACGCGTTGTCATTTCTTATGGCATTCAACTTAATTGCAAAAGGTGTGCTCGGGGGTGACTTCATATGTGTGTGTGTGCGCTAGTGGGTGTGTGTGTGTGTGTGCGCTAGTGGGTGTGTGTGTGTGTGTGTGTGTGCGCTGACTCTGGCGCAACGTTGCGTATGAGCAACTTTTGAATAATTAACTCACTTCAATGGCACTCGCTACGTTTTTGTGTCTTCCTCCCGCTCTCTCTCTCTCTCGGTCTCTCCCTCTCTCACCTTTTGTCGCCCTTTTTGCCCACTTCTTGGCTGTTCATATTTGTGGCACAGTTTCTGCGGCTGCCACTTGATGTAGAACGTTATAAAGTAAAACCGCGCTGCAAGATCATTTGATATGCATAAATTAAAATGCAACCGCTACACACACACACACACACACAAACACACACACACACACACACAGCTTCAGCTTCAGCTACTGCTGGCGACTCGACTCGACAGCTCCTCTTGTCAATGCAACCATTTTGCAATGTTCTTAATGGAAGCTGCCAATGTGTGTGTGGGTAGGGGGTGGCTGGATGCATGTCCATGTGCGTGTGTTCGTGTGTAACGGCATTTTGTATAAAATACACGCTGACTTCATAGCCTTCGATATAATATTGCATTTTTGGCCTCTGACACTTTGCCAATAACTTTGCCTACAAAAACTATATTTTCATTAACACTCAGGCATAACCACATACCCACACACACACACACACACACACACACACACACACACATACAGCAAGTAGACAGCAAAAAATAAGCCAAGTTTCTATTAAGTTGCAGTCTATAGTAGCTTAAGCTCTTCAGCTTATAAGAGCCTTGATATTTTCTTTTTTCTCTTTTGTTTTTTCCATGGAAAAACTTTGTTAAGCTGAATTTTGAGTGAAGAGATTTTAGGAAAATTATTTTTTTTAATCAATATAAATATTAAAGAGATATGAGCTGTTGAAAAGTTAAGCATGAGTATACGAATTTAGTGTATATGCATTGAAATATATTAAATATTTTAAATTAAATTGAGGCATTAAATCAAAGTATGATTATTTTAAGAATGTATTATTGAATTAAATATTTAGCACGAATAATTTAATTATTTCAATAAATTACAATCAAAAAATAATTTAAAAAAATGTATATGTATAATATTGAATTTCTAGTACTACTTTTTCTATGAAAAATTTATTCTTAATAATTCATTTCCTTGTAATCTATTCTAAGCAAAAAGTGAAAATTTTCTTATATTTCAATAGAAAAAGTACCGTTTCATTTGCTTTAACTTTTTGTATGAACACCACTTCATATATATACATACATGTATATATATAAATAAAGCTGATTAAAATATATATGTAGTATTCTCAGACAAAGCTTTCAAACATTTTTTAAAGTATAAAAGATCCACTAAAAAACAGAGTGTTCCGAAAACTAATAAAATTAGTTTGGCAGCTATCAAAATTACTTTTGGTGGCAAAATATTCGACAAACGGGATTTTCAAAAATCAATTTGCCAAAAAAAAGAGAGAAGACACTAAACGTGTTTGAAAGTAGTCAAAGTTTGGCAAGTTTTTTGGCAGCGCTTGCAGCAAAGTGCTGCCGCTGTTGCAGCAGCTGCGCCAGTTGCAAGTTTGATGAACCCCCCCAGAGCTGTGTACGGGTATCAAACCCTGGGCCAATGTCGCATTGCTGAGCCATTGACATTGGTTTTGATATTGCTCGAATTATTCAGTTTCCTTTTTTCTCGTTTTCTTTTGCGTGGCTGTTGCTTGTTGCACGTTGTCAGTTGTCATGCATATATATATATATGTATGCATATATCGGAATCGATATTATTGATTTATGGCTCGACCTTACATATGGCCAATATATATATGTATATACATATATAATTGTATTTGCGCATATTGCGAATGCAAAATGCTAGCCGTATTGTCATTACGGCTGATTGACCAATCCAAAGTCGCATGTCATGTAAATATTTGCAATTACCCAAACGAATGGGTGTAGATATACCCATATATCTCAATATATACAATATAGATATCTGTGCAGGTATGTTGCTGATTTTTGCATTTGACTGATTCAGCAGAAATATCACTTTGATGGCATCATTACAGATTACTGCGGAAGGCAATCAATAAAGCACCTGCGCATCAAAGGCAGCCAATCACAGGGCTACATCTGTCAGATCTACTCTATATAAATTGTATATATCTGTCAGTCAAAAAGTCTGTTTTTCTTTTTTTTTTCTGTTTTGTTGGCTAAAGTTAGTTGGCGTGAATAATTTCCACTAAATACAATAAAACCATTTAGCTTGGGGCGCTCGAAATTTACATAGAAATGAAAGCCTCGCAACCGGAACTGTGCCACAAAATAATAATAAAAAATACAAGTGAGTGACTCGTAGTAGACTACAAGATACCCTATGTGACAACATGCGAGGTTGATTCTAGTATGGACATAGAAATCATTGAGGTACTCGAGACTTTGGGGGCAAAAGGAAAGAAGAAAATTATTCGTAGCTGTGCGTAGCTCAGGAGAGCTTAGTACCCAAATTATATATCTCCAGCTCTTACAGTTTACGAGATATATATAAAAGAAATTTCACAATTAATTATGATAAAATAAAATAAATTATTACCATATTTAGAAAATTTTACCCTTAATCGAAAAAAATATAATTAAATACTAAAATATCTAGCAAGATATATCTAGTGTGAGTTTCAATAGTTCTCATAATAGAGCTTTTAGAGAATCAGATAGACAATAAAAATATAATCATTGGGATTGCCATGGTTGAAGCTCCCTCCCTAAATCACTCAAGAAAATTCCTGTTCCACAAACAACATACCCAAATTGCTGATTGAGTTTGTAGGGTATGAAAAAAAGTTGATGAGCTTCTGTTTTGTGGACTCTGGTTTAAGGACCAGCACTGGAGAGGGGGGCGGCGCTGATGCCCGCCCGCGGATGTAAATAATAAAAAGCACATTAAACAGCATTTTCTTTCATTTCGAAACGACAACGAAAACGAAAACGAAACAATTCCCAGTTTCATTCGTACTAGGGCACATACAAATATACACATAAAACCCGTACACACACACACACATAGAGAGTCCGGCCCAAAAAGTATGCTATAGTTGTTGTTATTGCTCTCGTTGTTGTTGTTGTGGTTGAGGCTGCTTACTGTGTCGCTTTGACACTTGGGCAGCCGCATTACTTGAAGAGGGAAAGAAGGGGAGAGGGGAAGAGAGAGAGAGAGAAAGAGAAAGCTACTGCGGCTACGGCCCACTTACGGAAATGCACTTTGCACTTAAATGGACATTAGATTTCGCCATGCAGTTCATTATAACAGCATCAGCCGATGACCACTCAAAAGTGTGAAGCATTTAAAAGGGGTGGGGGGAATATATTACGTAGATGTGTGTGTGTTGAGGAACTGTTGGAAATGTTTCCGAAAAGCGAAAGAGACGACCCATAAATTAATATACATTTTAAATATTAATATATAACAAAATAAATTAATAAGAATAATAAGGCTACGTTTATCAAGAAATTCACAAAAAAAAAATTAAATAAATTTTAAATATGTATAGACAAAATTAATAGTATTTATAGTTAAAGATTCAAATAATGAAACAGCAAAATTAATAATAATAGTACTAATCAAATGGATAAAGGGATAATAAATTTCATTAAAAAAGAAAAAAACAAATAAATAAAAAAAATTTATACATATTTATAAATAAAACGAAGAAATTTAAAAATAATTTTTATAAATATTTTTCTTCTTTAATTAATCGTATAAAAAATATAAGACTAAAATTCTTTTTATCGTATTTTCACCACATATATATTTAAAGAAAAATTCATATTTTTAAGCAATACAAAGAATGCAAATTATTTTACGTTCTTCAGTGAATAAAATATATACAAAATAGCAAAATAAATTCTTTTAAATACATACACGAAAAAATATTATAAAATGTTTATTATTTTATGTTCTTTAACAAATAAAATATAAACTAAATAATAAACCAAATAAATTGTTTTAAATATAATGTTCACCTTTGTAAAGTATTTCTGTGTAAATTTTTGAAAAATTCTTACTAAATTTAAATTTGAATCAAAACCCCAACAAATTGTACCAATATTTAAGCTACAATTGTGTTTTTTAAGCGCTTGACTTAATTAAAATTCGCAAAGAGATATTAATTTGGATGCATGTAAAATATGCAAAGGGGAGAGCCCGCGTTCGTTATCTCGCGTAATTTTTTTAATAAATATGTAATTCGTGGAGAAACGTACAAACTAAGCAGATAATGTCTAAATTATGAATGTTTGCAAACGAATAATGAAAACTGTGCCAATCTCTAGAGCATAAAAGCTTCGTTATTGCCCAATTACTTGGGGCTTTCTCGTGTTTTGTATCGTGTTCTCCGTTGCTTTTCTTTTTGGCTTGTTTTTCCGTGTTTTGCGGCCGGAACATGAACGTTGGCTTTGCCCCGCAGACGTTTGCTGCTTAAATGTGGCAGCTGCTACTTGGGGCCACTTGCAGCATTGCCTGGCACTTTTTGTTGTTGCTGTTGGTTTTCCCCCATTTCTTTTTTTTTGTTTAGTTGTTTTTTTTTATGCCTTTTATTTTCATGTCCAATTTCGCATTTGGCGCACGCTGAGCCTAAAAGACTGCACTTGAAAATTTTATGGGCGCTGCAGTAGTTTTTGGGGCCCGGCCCTGCGCCGGAGTCGAGTGCGGCCCGGACTTGTGAGTTACTGCCAACTGGCTGGCTGAGTGGCTGACTGGCATTATGTGGCCTTTTTTTTGATGATCAATTTTATGATGACTCTGGTTGCGCTCTGTCTGGCTGGCTGCAGCCGTGCCACATATGCCACTCGGCTCCCAATGGCACCGGCTCACCGTCTTCTCAAATGAAATGTGAAATGTAATCCAGCGGCTGCCAAGTGCCATGTTTATTTGCCTGCCCCGGAGTTGGCCAGTGAACCAGCAAAGCATTCAGTCAGCCCAGCACATCACAGTACAGCCAGCTGGCCACAGCCGTCCGTATTCCGGGGGCCAATGTGCCAATTGAGTTTAATTTGTTGAATGCCTTTTGACAGATTTCAAAATTAACTGGTATCACACTCGACTGCATCGCCCAAAAGTAAATGACTCGCAGTTGAGTTGCCGAGTTGCCAGTAGTTATGCTGGCCCATTCCACCCATTCAGACCATATTCGTTTGTGTTTCTGATTGAAGGCATTTCACATTCATTCGATTCACAATGACATTGGCTGAACGTGACACTGGATATGGCAGCAAATAGACTGCGTTCAATTTTAGTTGATTAGCTGGAGCCTACGCTCATGTAAGAGTGAGATAAAGACAGAGACAGAGAGAGAGAGAGAGAGAGAGAGAGAGACAGCCAGAGTTTGAGCAATTATTGTCAAGTTAGCGAACTGAGCTTGGGCATTTTCTAGTCAAATGAAGCCTAATCTGTTTATAGGCTGAGTTTCTAAGCTACTTAGAATGCTGTTTTTGTTTTATTATACCAAAGTTTTTGATGTACTTTTTATTATTTATCTAAAGCGCTTTTAAAACTTTTCTGTACTCTTAAATTTGTTTAATGTAAATTTGACTATGGCTCTAAAGAAGCTTTAAAAGCAATTTCATTACTTTTGAATGTCTTCAAAGGCTGCCTAAATTTAATAGGTAAATATATATCATAAAGGGCTTTACATTTTTGCGATTTATTGAGGTATTGCATAAGAGAGCTGTGCTTTTAGATGTTCTATAATTTTTGTAAATTTTGTATTCCATTTTATGGCTTGCTTAGTAGACTTCACGATAGACAGACCATTTTTGATTTATTTAAATTTGGAATTCCAGTATTGAGTTGACGTCCTCTCTTGAACTTAAGTGACATTTTTCAGCTGTTTTTCAAGCTGTTTACTAAAAGAAACAGCTGTACTCAGCGAACTGCTGTAGTCTATCCAGCTGAATCCGAGTTCTTGTTTGAGATTCACGCCTTAAGATTAATGACCATAATATCTTGAATATGCTTTTAAAGGAAAGCTAACTTTTATAAGCTTTCAAAGTGTCTAAATGTAAGTTGATGCAAGTAAAAAATCCTGCTAACACTTAAGAAAAATCAAACATAATTTACAATCTGCTTATAAGATTAAAAGCTTTAATGAGCTTTCAAAGCATTTAGCCGACTGTTAAGCAGAAAAATCAAACAAGCTGACTAATCCAACATTATTTTCAATTTAATGCGTTTTGAAAGCTCTTTTAGCAGTTCTTATTGAAACTAAATTACACAAGCTATTCTAGCTCTCAGTTTACCTTTCAGCTAGTCTATTCCGAGCTCGGCCAGTAGCTATGTGTTTGCTCTTGCAGATGAGAAGATTTTATTGCACGAATTCACTTGTGAAATTTGATTATGCACATTTTGATGTGGAAATGTAGAGAATATATGTATGTATTCCACAATACACACACACACACATACAGACATAAGGGCTATGGTAATGTGAGTCTATGGCATCTCTGGTTGACAAAGTTTGTTTGTGGCTCTATAAATTTTTAAAGACCTCCGGCTAGTTGTAATCATTGATTTGCCGCAACTTTCCGAGAACTTTAGCTAAGCCGATTATAGTCAACATTATGTGGCTGATTCTCAATTTATTTATATAGTTTTTTCCTTGGATTTTTTTCCCGAGATTTTCAATGCAAAACAGCTGCTGAATGTGGCTTTGCGAAGACTTTACTAGTTTAATCTGTTCTCTACCGGCTCGAGCGCTTAATGCATTTGCATGACCGGAATAACTATCGATAGCAGCGCACCTTGAAGTCGCTTTTGCCCACTGGGCAAGTGGAATAGTCGAAATGCAATTATTGCATGCAATTAACAATTCGGGCCAAGTTTTAATCTGAGCAGCTCTTAGGCATTTGTGGCTTTATATATATACGTATTTTGCGATTACTTCATTTCAAATTTACGAGCGCTACGCTTGACGAATGCTTGCAAGTAATTTAAGCATTTTAAGTGCAAAGGCCGTTTAAGCATTAGGATTTTGTAGGCAGACAAAAATAAAGTCGATAATACTCTTTCTAAATATATAATATAAATATTATTTTCAAAAAATTTTTTTATTTTGCTTTTCAACACAGATTTGAATTTGAATAGAAACCTTGTATTCTAAGAAATATATGTTTTGATATTTGTAGCTAAATTACACTCTGAGAAAAATAGTCAAATATTTTAGGGATAGATTGGCAACAGTAGTAATATTCGTTGCTCAACACTAATCTGGAATTTGATGGAAAATTTATAATTTGATGCAATATTAGCAACTTACATTGCTGTAAAGAGGATGGAATCATATCATAAATAATTGTTCATTTTTAACACTATATTTAATTTATTTCTTCAAGAAATATAATTTATTTATTTTATTTTATGCATGGATATTTTTGTAGAATTTTTACTCAGTGAACAAATATTTGAAGAAAACATTAGCAGTCTGCCTACACAATAGTTTACCAACACTGTTCTGAATTTAACTATTGTTCCATAAATCTATTTGGATAATGTGTTAGCATAGACACCATAAACAATGGTTTAATTGTAACATAAAACATTTTGTGCCTGACT